GCACTTGGTAGGGGTTTGGAGTAAAGAAAGGTGATTCTTCAATCGTTTCTTGTGCAGACGTACCTGGTTGGGGCTGAGGTTCTGGTTCTGAAGTGTTCATTTTGGTCACTGGAGGTATTTCTCGTAGGCAGCGACGAGTCCTTTGTTTGGCTGGTGAGCTAACTCCGTCTGACCGAGACCTCTTGGGCACCTTACTGGCCATCACTTGCTGATCATACCGCATATCATAAGAGAAAAATAAATAAATAAATAAAAAAAAAGATGCCAACAGTAAATATCAACTGCTCTAATATACACTTTAACTGTATCACGTGAATAATCAGAGAGATTCCGCTATAAAATTGGTAAAAACTGAGAGAGGAGTTGAGGAGACAACCTTCTCATCAGCTGATCCACTGCCTTCTTCCATTAATAAATAGTTATCAAAACCTAATGGTAATTATTTATTAAATCAACCTAAGTTAAATAAGTGGAAAGACATTCTATTTTGTTTTTTTTTTTCAACTATTACTGTGTTTATAAATAATTATTTCTTTGGTGCATGATAATATACTTGATGTTAAAAATCTAATTATAAATACTTACTATTATTTTTCTGTATTAGTTTCGCAACTTATTATGTAGGTATTAGTCAATTTGACAATTTTAATTTGTTATTATCAGTAATTCTAATGATTATATTGTCGGTTTATAGCAAATAAACTCATTAAGTAACATTTTAATGAATTTGATATAATCGAATTTGTAATTTCTGAATCATCAAAAAAAAAAAATAATGAAATATCAATTTGATTATTTATTTTTTTTTTTTTTTTGTATTTGCAATTATAGTCCTTGGTACAGACCCCTTTTCATCGAATTATTAACATCCGGCTGAAACTTCGTAAATAGGTTCTTCTCTTCGTAACCCACATATATTTTATTTACGAAAATGCTCGGAATTGGGGCGTTTTCAATCTGGAGGTCAGCAAATATTGTCTATTTAATTAGGTACTAAAACCTCGTAAATACCCATTTGCTTTCGACTTGAATATTAAGATAACTTGAGTAGGAAGTCAAGACAAAAGTTGACCTTCAAAAATATTGAGGCGTTTGGCGTGACCTACATCCCCAATTTATCAAAATATCGAGATCATACAGGCCAAACGGCTCAATATTTTTGAAGGTCACCTTTGTTCTTGACTTTGCGCTCAATTTATCTTACGATTCAAGTGGAAAGCAAGTGGTTATTTACGAGTTTTTAGTAAATGATAAAATAAACAAAGTTTGCAGACCTCCAGATTGAATTCCGAGAATCGTCGTAAATAAAATATTTGTAGGCTACGATGAGAAGAAGCTATTCACGAAGGTTCAGACGGACGTTAATAATTCAATAAAAATTAGTTTGTACCACGGACTATTATAAATATTTTTTTTTGTCTATAAAATATGTATTTGCGCCTGTCAACAATAAGTTGAAAATCAGCAAATGTGATGGCGATAATGATATAATGACATGACAGGCATGGGGAAGGAAAGTACTCAGCAGTACCTCTTCCCTAACTTGTTCCAATTACTTAGGTTGTCTAAGGAAGGAGATCCCTCATCCAACGCCTTTTTAGTCTCCTGCTCATGTTCTGAGGTATGTCAGCTGTGGCCATGTCTCTTATAAGTCTGTTATTATGTCCATTTAAATTTGTGTAAAATCGTTGATATAGGGTCGTTATATGTTTGTCAACTGTTGGAAAGTGGAGGTCAGTATGTAGAGTTTTGTTAGACACGTACCAAGGTGCTTTTGTTATGATTCGCAATAATTTTGATTGGCAGGTTTGAAGTTTTTGTAGGTGGGTCATTTTAGCGATGAGGTATATTTGTGATGAGTATGTCCATATGGGCTTAAGTAAGTATGTATATGTATTCAGTTTCTGTTTTAGTTTTGAAGATTTGGCAAAAAGAGAGTAAAGTAGTTTGAGTCGTTTGTTAAGTGTCATACGTTTCATTTTAACATTATAAATATGTATTATATTTTCGAAAATTAAATAAATAGTTAAAATATGTATAACAATGAAAAATAAATAAAACTATGACGGCGTAATGAACTATTGTACACTATCATAGTTAAACAAAACACTGATTTAATTTTTTAACATTGCAAGTACATAGAATATGAGTTAGACATACCTCATAACAGGTCATTAAGTACCAGGTAGTGAATTTTTGCGCTGTAAAGTCAGAACATCGTGCACTTAGCAAAACTATATTTTACTTATAAAATTATTTATATTATCTGTCAGCAGTTGAGCTACTGTATCGATAAATGTGATCGAAATTAACAACTAGTTTTCTTCAGTTAAACTCTACCAAAAGTGTACTCAGTGATTTTTTGCAATAAACCGACGTTATAATATTTCGTTTTTAAATTAAGTTATATTTAACACTTTTTTTTCTTAAATATAGGTATTTATATATTTATATTTTTACAATTATTATAATATTATTTTATGCTTATATTACTTTGAAGAACAAGTGTTTTTAAAATGGTTAGACTAAAAGTCTTTCGAAAATTAAAAGGGATACAAGACGGAAATATCGAAGAAACAATAAATTCATTGGCCACAGCCAAGAGTCTGAAAATGAAATTAAGTTAATAATTTCAGATATTAACTGCTGGACTATAATTAATATGAATCAAGTTATACAACTTAAGAAGACTCTATAATTTAAAAGAAATTTACTGCGCAAAGTTTAAAAGAGATATTTCAGCGGTGGACTTCAGGGCTTAATTAAATCGTAGAACAATTTAAGTTCACTGTGACGGAGCTTTGGGCTCGGCTACATCTTTCCTTATTACCCGCCTGAAATTACTTGCTAAATTACTTCTATTAATTTCGCAGATTTGGATGGCCAATCTTCGAAATTATCCGATTGCTAACGAAATCTATATTTCATTCTGGTATCTAATGATTGGCCAAGGGCTCCGAATTTTTTAATGCTTCACTGAGAATCCTTGATACGTGCTAGATTTAAAAATTAAAAAAAAAAAAGAACCTGTACCACTAACAAGCCTTGAAGGGTCTTGGGTTCAGTACACTGTGAGGAAGTACTGTTTCAAATCCAACGGTTTGTGTAGGGAGGTGACGGGACAATATTAATCTCAATCACCAGGTTTTTACCCTTAATTAATTATTTAATTAAAAGCACCCACTTTATAGAGGCTGGTTCGCCTCAGGGTCTACCGAGGCTGATGAAAAATTACTTCGCATTAGCCGGACTCGAACCTGGGACCTTGAGCTCTGGAAGTCAGTGCTCACCCACAGCTACTCCGCTCCCATATTTAAAAATTATGACTAAATAATTAATTAATAATATTAAAATAAAAGAAATAACATTAATTATTATTTACTTTATGAATTCTAATTCAAATATACAAATTCATTACAGAAAACACTTCTTTAATAATTATTGTCCATCAAAAAAAACTTTCAGTTCGTAACACGAATAATAATATATTCTTTCCTGAATAAAGTATATCTTCGAATGATTGCAATAAGTCACTAACAAATACTTTTTTGACTTAGCTAGACTCCTAATTAGTTAAAGAGTTGTGCGAAGAATAAGATAGGAGTTTAGGAATAATTTAAAATACATTTTCTCGAACATGTGTCAGAATTTAATCATGAATAAATATTTTCCTGTGGAAGAAGCACCTTCAATTATAAAATACATAAGAACCAGAGTTTGAAATCGATGATTATTTTTCCCACAAAAACACGTAATAATTATTACAGTTGATTTTTAATTTGAATTTTTATAAAATTAAAAAAATCTGCCCGATTAATAAATAAAACATTTAAATCGATCTTTAATGTTTATTGATTCGATTAAAAAGATGATTTTACATAAATAATAATGATTAAATTGTAATCAGCAAAGTTTGATTCAAAAAATCAAAATCACTTTTTATACACAAACTAAATAAAATATTAATAATTATGTATACGTTATTAATGTATAAATTTGTTAATATTATATTTCTGAAATGGCTTTAATTGTGCACGCGGTACCTATATATATATATATATATATATATATATATATGTGTGTGTGTGTGTGTGTGTGTGTGTGTGTGTGTGTGTGTTTGTGTGTTTGTGTGTGTGTGTGTGTGTGTGTGTGTGATTGTGTGTGTCACATAAATAACCTACATCTGTGAGGCGTATGTCCAAATGGGTTTAAGTAGGTATTTTGATTAGGAAAAAATAGAGTAAAGTATTTTCAGTTGCATGTTTAAAGTCTTTCTTCCCAATTTTACGTGTAGGTCCCAGATCGTTCCTTTGTCGAATATTAGTCAGAGATATTATACTGTGTTCGTCTGTTTATTTCGCGTTTTTTTTTCTTTATATTTCCATCCACACCTGTCATAAGCTTGACAATAAGCAGATGTGCTGTAACTAATAAGAAAAATTGACATTTTAGGCATGAGAAAAAATATAGTACCCAGCAGCACTTCTTCCTGGTCTTGATTTATTTCCTTAATTCAAGAAAGGAGACCTCTCATCGAGCTCCTCTTTAGTCGTCTCCTGATAGGCAGGTCAGTTGTGGCCATGTAGTTGTCCATGCCAAGTCCGTGTAGTTTAAGATGAAATCTGGAGTAGAGATCGCGTATGTGATGGTCGATAGTTGGTTCTCGTAAGTCGTTATGTAAAGTTTTGTTGTTTACGTACCAAGGAGCTCCTGTTATATGTAGTAAAATTTTGGATTGAAATGTCAGTAGTTTTTGTAAGTGTGACTTCTTTGCAGAACCGTAAATTTGTGATGCTTATGTCCATATGGGTTTGAGTAGGTAAGTGTATGTATTGAGTTTTTGTTTGATTTTCACATCTGGGAATTCAATTTTACTTCTTAAAATGAAAAAATAAATATATTATTTATATTTTTTTAATATTAAATATTTTATTTGAAGTACTGCCTAGGTTGGTTTCCATTATACTTAAAAGCATCAATGCACACCTACACTGTTCTAGGCGAATCCTGACAACGACTTCAAGAGCATCCCAGAAGGCCTGTGGTGGGCTATCGTGACGATGACCACGGTCGGCTACGGGGACATGGTGCCCAAGACCTACGTCGGGATGTTCGTCGGTGCGCTCTGCGCTCTGGCTGGAGTGCTCACCATAGCGCTTCCGGTTCCAGTCATAGTATCCAACTTTTCCATGTTCTACTCCCACACACAGGTAAGAGAAATATTTCAATATCCATGTTTTTATAGTTAATAATTTTATGAATAATTCTTAAATTTTGGTTTATTATTTTCAATAATCAACTATTGTGATCGACCAAAAAATTCAAAAACTTAACTCCCTCTCAAAATTTGAGGTTTCACGTTTCAGAATTCGAAAAACGAATAAATTTTTTTTTGTACGTCCGCCGTTCGCGCATTTTCTCCGAAACCACTGGACCGATTTTTTTTTCAAATTTTGATATAAAATCAGATGTCATCCGAGGATAATCCTCCTTCATCGGTATTACTCTCCGCCTTTTACTTTCAAAATGGCGGCCGAAAAACCTGCGTTGCTATAGACTGTAGCTCCTAAACGAATGTACAGATTTCAATGAAACTTCACTAAAGTCATTTTCTCGACGCCCTTTAAATTTATCTATAATACATACTTCAACGAAAAGAGGCTCGAAAAAAAGTTACGATGGATGGTAAAAGTAAATTATGAATAAAAGTTTATACTTTTTTGTTGATATTCTATATGGTTTTTTAAAAGTTTATGATGAAATTTCCTAAAAAAACAAAAAAAAGTTGTTAAAATCGGACAATTAGGAGCAAAGATATGGTCTCCGGTTTTTTTTATATGTTCTACTCCAAATGTTATATCCTTGGTTTGGTTTTTAAATTTTGAATGTGTTACTGAAGTAATGCTTATACTATTTTACTATTTTTGTATAGTATTATTACTTCGTATTATTACTATTTTTACTATTGTAATACTATTTTGTTTAGCGTATTACTACTGATTAAAAAAAAAGGTTTAGTCCAATAATTGGAATCACCTTTTGTTTATTTTTCTTTGTGACTTGGAAGGTAATTTTACTTTAGATGTATAATTGTTTGGAAATAATAAACCATTGTGAAATAATTTGCAGCGTTTTTTATATAAGTCCATACCGAATACTCCATATGGTTAGCTCTGTAAGTAGTCCTGCGGTATAAGGTCTTGTCTCTAATTCATTCAGGCATCAAGGATTTGCTCAATCATACATGTATTCCCAATTTTTTAAAAACAATATAAAACAAGAAAAATTAATTGGTGTATCCAAATATATAGCGTTGCTACAAACAGAGTGCGTAGCATGATGTAGGCAAGGATTATTTGTAATGGTCTAAAAAAAACTTTTGAACGCCTAGAAAAATAAAACAATTGTAAAATATATTGTTATGATAATTTTTTTTTTTAACATCATTTATTCAACCACACCTGTCATAAGCAATGACAATTATTGGGTCTCCTGTCGTTAAGTGTATAGGTAGTGGCTTGATCGGCTTGATGGAGAGGAATGCCCAGCGGTATCCCTTCTTGTCTTGATTTTAGCATATTTTTAAGCGTGGAAATCCTTCATCCAGCTCCTTTTGAGCCTCCTAAGTGTGTTTTCAGGTATGTTGAATGTTGCCATACTTTGTATAAGTGTGTAAGTATGTCCATGTAAGTTATTGTGAAATAGCTTGTAGTGTGTCCGTATGTGATCGTTAACTGTTGGTATTTGATAGTCTTTATGTAATGTAATGTTTGTGACGTACCATGGAGCTTTGGTTATGCTTCTGAAGGTTTTAGACTGAAAAGTTTGTAGTTTTCGTATGTGGGTCGTTTTTAATCAATTTAATTTTAAATCAATTTAATGGCTTTTTTTTCAACTTTATCATTTTCCCTTTAATAACGCTTTTAGAACGATTAAAAACGTTTTTATTAAAATAATAGAATTATTTTAATACGTAAGTCTAATAAACGTAAGCTGTTTATTTTTACTTTATTTTCATTTTAAACTTTTACAAACAAACAAAAACGAAGAAATTATATTTTTATAATACTGCGGAAAGCCAACAGGAAAGAAGACTGGATATGTCAGCTGTATGAAAGGAAAGTTGGCCGACTGTGACTATAGCTCTCAGCCGATCAGCGAGAAAACTTTTCATATTTGCAGAAGTCTCCAAGGGGGAAGAGAGTAGAGTATGGGGGGAGGGAGTTCTCGCTGCATATATTAAAGAAGTTTTCTCTTTCTGTGACGGATGGCCACTTATCTCAATCATCAATTATTACCTTAATTGTCGTTTACTGATAATATTGTTTATCAGTTGTTTTTTTTTAAGAACTTCGTTTTAAATCCACCTCGTTATATATAGTTCCGTTCTAAATAAATGAAAAATTCGAAACCATAAAGCATTGAGTCTGTAATATGAAGATTAACTGTTAACTGTTTGAGACTCAAGGCTTGATGGTTTTTGAATTTTTCATTTACATTCTAATTATTTTCTTTCTTCATAAGCTAATGGTTCATTTATAGTAAAAACATATTTATATAATTACATACCTCCCTAGGTTTTGGATAAACCAGTTATAGCAGCAGGAGCACTAACTAAACTAAAATGCATAAAACCACGGCCAACAATTTTCTCTGTTTCATTCATGGCTTCTTAACTAAAACTAGTATTGCCCAAATGGGAGAGCAAGGCGAGTCTAGGAAAATTAGAGGAGTTAAATGCAAAACAATAATTGGTCATACCAATTCTTTACATGTAGTAACTAAAATTATCCAGTATTACTAAATATTTTGCATAATTTTTATTTAAAAATCAATTTTTTTTTACCAGTGTTGGTCTTGGCCTTGCAACAGTTAGGCGGTGTAGGTCTTGGTCTTGCATTTTGCAATTTCGGGCAACAATAACTAAAACGTTCTATTTCTTTAAACCTTCCTATTTAAAATTATTCCTAATTGTGGGTTGATGGTTGACTGTAGTGAATAATTGAAGAGAATGATGGTTAGGGTGATCAGTCAAAATAAAATATTTAAAAAAAAATATTCTTAATAATCTACGTCCTTTACGCATCAAGTTCATCCATTTCAATTTGTAACTACTATTCCTCATAACCCTTAACTATTTTCTTTTAATGTTATGTTTTTTCATCCTACATTAAGAAATATGAACGGGACAGACGACTTTTTTTTTTGGAATACTTTCTTGCTCCATACCTATTCGCATAACCACAACCAGAGATTTTCAGGCCCCAGGAAGTATTCAATAAAAGCAATTTCTGAATTTTCACTGTGTTCAGGATCGTTATCCTGTTGAAAGATAAATGTTCCTTCCGACCATATTTCCTTATACATTTTTCCTTTTTCATAATTTAATATCGATTAATTGATCCATAATACCATAAATTATATGCAGTTTGTCTACTCATGCACCCAAAGACATAATATTACCACCTCTAAGTTTGCCGAGAGGACTTGATTCTTAGATGAGTCGAAATCCAATGTGATTGGGTTGGACTGTACTGGATAGACGGTAAAAAAAGTGACAAAAAAAATATGAATGAATAAAAAGGGAATGTGTAAAAGAAAGTTGGGAGTGGTGTAGCTCAGTGGTAGGGGGTCGACTTCCAATGTCCAAGGTCCCAGGTTGGAATTTCGAATCCGAAAGATGATTTATCCTCTCCCTCACGCCTATTAAGCCATTGTTTCTAACATCAGGCTCGCTAATTGTCAGTACTTCGGACAGGCATGAGTGAAGAAATGGAGATAAAAAAAATTAAAACCGTAGTTAATATTTTTTTTTCTATAAACATGTATTTGTACCTGTCAACATTATGTTGACAATCAGCAAATGTGCTGGAGATACAAGAGATAATGACATGACAGGCATGGGGAAGGAAAGTACTCAGGAGCAACTCTTCCCAAACTTGTTTTAATTACTGAGCTTGTTTAAGGAAGGATATCTCTCATACAACGTCTTTTTAGTCTCCTCCTCATGTTCTGCGGTATGTTAGCTGAAGCCTTTTCTCTTATTAATCTGTTAGTAGTCCGTTTAAATTAGTGTAAAAACGTTGATAAATGATCGTTATATGTTGGTCAACCGTTGGAAGGTGGAGTATGTAGAGTTTTGTTAGTCACGTACGAGTACAAAGGTGCTTTTGTTATGAGACAATAATTTTGATTGGAAGGTTTGAAGTTTTTGTAGCAGAGTTTTTTTTTGCGTATATTTGTGATGAGTATGTCCGTATTGGATTGAGTGAGTATTTTATAAAAAATGAAAAGTGGACGCTTCTGATAATAAATATAATTGTTGGGGCCAGGGGTATTTCAAAAACGAAGTACAAACCTTTCCCCGTTGAGTTTCCTCAAAGATGGGGAAAATTGGAGTAAAATTAAAAATGTTGGGAAAGAGAGAAAAAAAGAAGAGTAAAAAATGAGACTTGTAAACCTAAAAAATGTGCATGCACAAGAAAATATTAAAATAAAAATATTTCAATACCTAAAAATGGAAAATAAAAAATACCCTTTTAAATGCTTACAAATTTATTGAGATAAAAGATAAAAAAACAAATGAGAAGAAGAAAGATTATTCAAATGCAGTGAAATAAAGTAAAACATAAATACAATATTTAGTGAAAAATAAAAAAAATTGTCCATCGAAAACAAAACATAAATAAAAAACTTCTATAATAAAGATTAACTTAAGAGAGAAAAAAATAACTTGAAGAGAACAAAATCAAATTTCGAGAATAAAATTAATCAAAAGGAAAAAAATTAACTTGAGAGTTCATTAAAGTTTAAGTAATAATTTAGAGAGAAAACCCAAATTAATATTTAAATGTCGCATAGTGATGGTGAGAATAAAAAACGTTCCAAGTTGGAGAATCTTCTTCTAAAGAGGTTACCTTGTACGATGTCAAGTCGATGTTGGGGAGTATCAAATCGATAGCCTATCGATCGATCGACAACTGCAGCGGCGCCAAATAGTTGACGTTCGAAAATGGCGCTAGGTGAGATGTGATGAGTCTGGACTGGTGGGGGTAGACGTCTTCAAATAGACCTGATGTCAACAAAGGTTACTTCCAGACTGAGAACCCAACAGTATTATCGCAGTATTTTGGTGTGTTAATCCCTAAGACAGGGTATTACT